ACGTTCCCTTTACATTTCTATGCTACAGTGCAAAATCGGACTGCAACCACGCCAACTTTTAATATTATATAACACAGTTTAAAATTCCATCTGAATCTCGCACTTTCTAGTAAGCAAATAAAGCAAACATTAATTTATCGGCATACAATTTTGCACGTATAATGCTTTTAAAGAATGTTACCTTAAGAATGAAAAGTCAAAATTTGCACAAAGAGCCCGTAACTTCCTCTATCCCCAATATATCCCATAAAATGATTTCCGTCTTTCCACCTGTATTTAAACCGTTTAGGTTGGTCAAAATGTGTAATAATTTAATAAAATTAAATGAACAAGATATCTTAAAAATTATGAGATTTAGCGGTGAATAAGGTTGGAATTGGTCTAAACCTTATATTTCTTATACAATGAATTCCGATCCACTGGTTCACGTCTTCCCCTTCATTAATATTATACATAATATGTGTATTAAAATTTGCCTCTTCGGTCAAGTTAATATCACATAAATATACTATCTCATTTGAAGGTGTTTTTATTATAATTTTAGCTGACGCAAACATAAATATGTCAATAAAACTAAGTCATGGCTCTCGATATAAATCAAGAATATACAATACCAAACTTGATGAAATTTATTTTTAAATATGAAGTTTTGCTAGCACCTTAAGGAATTTCCAGGGTTTTGATTCTTGCAAGTTGCAAGAGTATAAAATGTTCGGTTACACCCGAACTTAGCCCTTTCTTACTTTTTGTATTTAATATATTTATTTCCTTTTTTTCAATACTCAAATTTAATTTTGGTTTAAAATTTTTGTTTTTAATTTTATTTATGTTTCAAATTCACTTAAATTCTAACTTACATTAGGGAAGTGATATGGCTACTCCTACCGATGGCCCAAAAGTTTTCCTGTTTTCTGCTGCTACTGAGGATCCTGCGATTCATTGAATACAGAGGATGTGCTGCGGACTTGCCTGACAGTACTTGTAGCACTCTGATTAACCAGAACCAGAGAACGTAAATGGACGATAAGGTGCAAATTGAATTTTGTATGATGCTCGATCGGACGGCTAACAGAGCTGAAAAATTCCGAGCAGGGAGTTCATCATTTTATGTAGTATTCGCTGCTATTTAACAGAAATGAGAATTTATAGCAACGTTCTTTGGCAGAAATACGTATCTACCAACATAAAGAGAAAAATGAAATACTTTGAACAAAAAATACAAATGCCACTTCACATATGCGTGATTATTTTTTGTCAAAAAAAACACTGAAAAATTGATCAAATATGATTTTTTTGCACATTTTTTGCACTATGACTAAGCTCTAGATTCTTATTTCGTACCGCAATCTTTGATTTATAAAAATGTTCCATTGAGCGACATAGTGTCATATTTTATTATGATGATTGACGATTGGCTTCATTCCTCAGATTGATTTAGGTGCTGTTTATTCGCCTCTGCGCAATTAATTGGTGTATTGCTTAATTAACTATGTACATAGGTATACATGATTTATTACTTAAGATATTTAAACTATTGGAAAAAAAAATTTTACAATTCATTTTAATATTTACAGGTGGTCCTTACTCTAAATGTTTCTTAATTTTTTAAAGTATATCAAGTTACAATATTGTCTCTAGCTATTTTTAGCAATTTGCTCTTTTCATTTCAATTATAAAACTTTTGTTTTGTTTTTGAAAGCAAAGTTAAATTCATTTTTTTTACGTTTGTTTCTAATTTTAATGCATATTCTTTTTATGACTTTCGTAATTTTAAGAACTTTTTATTTAAGGCAGTTTTTAATTAAGTTTTTATGAACAGTTTTACCTGATTTGGTGAGGACAGTACTGTTAAAGTTTTTGGCGACTATTTCTTCTTTATATTGTAGAGTTAATATTGATATCTATCTATCCCCCCGAAGGGGGTGAATCGCGGCCTTTTTAAATATTTTTGAGTTATAGCTATACAAGCCTCTAAAATGGTTATTTTGGTTTTAGTTTTGAATTATATCCGATCTCTGGACGGTCCCCCGTGTGGTGAATCGCAGAGATACTTATTTTAAGTTTTTATTATAAGGACTTAAAGTCCCTTTTTATTGGAATTTGCGTTTATTTTATATTAAATTTAAATATAATAATGTTATTTGATTTAATTATAAGAATTATTTTATAGAATTTTACTACAGTTAGTTGGTTAAGTTTGCTTTTATTTGGTATTGAATTTAAATATAATAATGTTATTTTATTTAATTATAAGAATTATTTTATAGAATTTTACTATAGTTAGTTAGTTAAGTTTGCTTTTATTTTATCTTGAATTTAAATATAATAATGTTATTTTATTTAATTATTAGAATTATTTTATAGAATTTTACTATAGTTAGTTAAGTTTGCTTTTATTTTATATTGAATTTAAATATAATAATGTTATTTTATTTAGTTATAAGAATTATTTTATAGAATTTAACTATAGTTAGTTAGTTAAGTTTGCTTTAATTTTATATTGAATTTAAATATAATAATGTAATTTTATTTAATTATAAGAATTATTTTATATAATTTTACTATATTTAGTTACTTAAGTTTGCTTTTATGTTATATTGAATTTAAATATAATAATGTTTTTTTATTTAATTATAAGAATTATTTTATAGAATTTTACTATAGTTAGTTAGTGAAGTTAGCTTTTATTTTATCTCAAATTTATATATAATAATGTTATTTTATTTAATTATTAGAATTATTTTATAGAATTTTACTATAGTTAGCTAATTAACTTTGCTTTTATTTTATATTGAATTTAAGTATGCATATATACATACATTTCTTTGCATGTGTTAGTTTTATCAAATTTTGGTTTTTTTTGGAAGACGATATAAAATAGGAACCTTTTTTTTTTGTATGTTTTGTTGTTTTAATTTTTACTAATAACTAATCTTTAACATATATACTTTTTTTGTATGTTTACATTTTATCATAAACAAAATTTCTTGTTATTTAGAAACGATATAGAATATGAACTTTGTTAGATTTTTACTAATAACTATATTTTTTTGCACGTGTAAGATTTTTTTGCACCGATTCAGAAATCAAGAAAGAAAATCTTGGCAATTTCTGGACACGTCTCCAAGCTGCATATGACGCAATAGTAGAATCTGCCGACTCTGATCAACTTGAAAATTTTAAATCCTCAGCTTACGCCAAGTACGAAAACTGCTTAGACCAGTTTGAAGAAACAAAAGCAATGATTTCGGATCCATTAAAATTAATTAAAGCAATTGCAACTACTCCACAACCGAGAGTAAAGCTGCCACAAATTAAATGTCAAGAGTCAAATTCAGGCACTCATCTCAAGGTGCCCGCCTGTGACACAGAAATCTTTCATGGTGGTTATGAACAATGGCCGTCCTTCCTCAACATGTTTACAGCCGTTTACATCAACCATCCAAAATTATCAAAAGCGCAAAAATTGTATCACCTCCGATAAAAAACTAAAGGTCAAGCAGGCGCAATAGTCAAACAGTTCGCACTAAATGACGATAATTTCAATTTGGCTTGGAAGCTCTAAAAGCAAGATACGAAAATGAAAGAATATTGGTCGATAAGCAAGTAACGATACTAATGAACTTGCCTAGAATTCAGAAAGAAACGATTAAAGGGTTTATTACACTACAATCCACTGTTTCTAATTGTTTGTCGGTTCTATCGAAACAAAATACTTCCACAGACAGCTGGGACCCTATTCTGGTAAAAATATACACCGCAGCATTACCAGAAAAATCGTTACTTTTGTCAGAGCAATCGCTCTCATCTCGGAAGAAATGCCCAACGTGGCAGCAAATGAAAGAATTTCTCACTACCCAATACGAAATCGCAGAAAGGGTAGCCAAAAAACTTGTTAGAACTAAAAACGTTCAAAACAACCTCAATAGACCCAAAACCAGTAGCAAAAAAATTTAAATAGAACCTTTTTTAAAAATCAATCGTTCACATCCGAACAGTATAAACAAACGTATTGCGAAATATTGCGAGGAATTCAAAAAATTTAATATTGTCGATAGGAAAAATTTTGTGAGGAGAAAAAAACTTTGCACAAACTGCTTGTCACGTGCGCATACTCTAAAATAATGTGAAAGCAAATTCAGTTGCGTATATTGCCACAAAAGACATCTTCAATGTTACATATCACAAATTTTTCCAGCGCACCTCAAATTAATGTTAAAAGGGCTAGGGGATTAATTGCAACTGCAAATTCCAAAATCCCGAAAATCACCAAGAAGCACCATATAAACGTAAGTGCTACACAGCGAAAACCAAAGTAGGGCACGACTACCCACAGCAGTCGTCGAAACAGCTGGGACCCTATTCTGGCAAAAATATACACCGCAGCATTACCAGAAAAATCGTTACTTTTGTCAGAGCAATCGCTCTCATCTCGGAAAAAATGCCCAACGTGGCAGCAAATGAAAGAATTTCTCACTACCCAATACGAAATCGCAGAAAGGGTAGACAAAAAACTAGTTGGAACTAAAAACGACTTCAATAGAAGCTTCAGTAGACCCCAAGCCAGTAGCAACAAAAATTTATATAAGCTTTTTTAAAAATCAATCATATCCGCACAGTATAAACAAACGTCTTGCGAACTACGTACAGGAAGGCATAAGCACAAATCTTGCGAGAAATTCAAAAAATTCAATATTTTCAATAAGAACAATGAGAACAAAACACTTTGCACAAATTGCTTGTCACGTGCGCATACTCTAAGAGAATGTGAAAGCAAATTCAATTGCGTATATTGCCACAAAAGACATCATTCAATTTTATATATCACAAATTTTTCCAGCCGACCTCAAATTAATGTTAAAAGGGCTACGGGATTAATTGCAACTGCAAATTCCAAAACACAAAATCCTGTAAATCGCCAAGAAGCACCATATAAACGTAAGTGCTACTCAGCGAAAACCAAAGTAGGGTACGAATACCCTTCTTTTTTTTCCTCATGAATGGGTAAGAGAGTGAGCTTGAGTAGCTCGTTGGGCGCCAGTTAACTTATTTTTTGTTAAACATTTAATATATTTTTTAGTACCTTTTCCACTAACAGCCGAACCAACTTAATATTTTCGGCGACGGCAGCGCGAGAGGTCAGCAGCGACGCACACTGTTAGTGTCATGCTAGTAGCGTCATTAAATTCCTTTAATTGTACTTGTAGTTTGACATTCTTGTAGTGGGTAGCGGTAAGGGTGGCGTGATGCATTTTGCCGAATTTTATACCTGCATTCCTGAGCATTATTAAGCATAGCACAGTATACTGCGTAACAAAATTTTTATTTTGTTAACTTATACACAAACCTACATACACATATGCGTACACAAGTAAATATGTCACCAGCAAAAATTACAAACACACAATCGTCTCAAGTAGCATAAGCAGCACATAAACATGTCAATATGTATAGTAAATCACACAACAACAATATTTTCATTCATGAACGCTGGCACACATACAATAAGCTAAGTCGTTTCATTCATGAAAGCAAACGCCTTACACATCTCCCCGAGCATGCGCTTGCCCACAAGCGTCTTTTCGCGACGATGGCAAAAGCTAGAAAAAAGTGACAAAAGTGGCAACAAAGCTTTTGTCGATTTAAAATACTTTACAATTCTAAGTATTTTTCCGTGGTTCGCAAAAGTCTGTGTCAATATGTATGCACCGCCATATATAAACAGAGAACTTAGAAGAACGAGAAGGTGTAAATTGAATTTTGTATGATGCTCGCGTATGATGAGAATTTATAACAACGTTCTCTGACAAAATACGTATCTCCCAACGTAAAGAGAAAATTTAAATACCTTAAACAAAAAATACAAATGCCACTTCACAAAATAAGTAATGCATACGCAAATCTACATATATACATATATATGCGTACAAATGTAAGTATGTGAGCCAATAGAAAAAATACAAACGTTGTTATACAAAAACAACAATTCTCTCAAATAGCATGAGCAGCGTCAGAAATCAATATAGCAGCCAAATTGACAAATCCTAAATTTGTAGTAAATCACAAAACAACATTTTCATTCATGAACGCTGGCGCACATGCAATAAGCTAAGTCGTTTCATTCATAAAAGCAAACGCTTTGCATATCTCCCCGAGCACGCGCTTGCCTACAAGCGTCTTTTCGCGACGATGGCAAATCTTAGAAATCATAAATTGAACATTTTCTATGTTCCCTAAAGAAGGGAAAAGTGACAACCCTGCAAGCCCACAGAACACAGAAAAAAGTGACAAAAGCGGCAACAAAGCTTTTGTCGATTTAAAATATAATATTATATTTCACAATTCTAAAATATTTTTCCGTGACTCGCAAAAATCTGCGTCAATATGTATGCATGCTCATATATAAACATACATATTTACAATGATTTGTGGTTGGTAAAAATCCTCCGCTGAACCCTCCACGAAGGTGCCGACTGGAAATAAATACCACAGGTTCACGTCGTTAGTAGTGAGGTGTCTAGCTAGGGTCAGGCTTCCTATCTGGGTGTTCGGTACTCTTCGATAGTGCAGCATCCAGATAGGAGGTCTTACCATGGTAGGGTATAAAGGGCTGGATCAAGGTATCATGCGACCCGTGCCGAAGATCAACCTGGCTGGGGGCCCTTAAATAGCCCAGTCTCGCACGGAGCTTACGGATACCTGGCGCCCTCCGTAATAAGATAGCCTTACTTGCGTAGCGGGGCTATGCGCAAGCGGACATACTTTCCCCTACACTCGTGGGTCCAAAATATGAGCCAAAACATTAAAAACGATAAAAACAAAAACAAAAAGGAGTCCGGACCTCCTTCAAAAAGACCGGAGGGAGCGGGTTGCTCCCAGAGAAGAGCAGCGTTTGGCACGAGCTCGACAACAGCCAAAGCGAGGACAGGAGCGAAGCTTGGTCCTGGAGCAAAGGCGAATACTAAGGGGGCAGTAGCCAAGGCTGGCGCCACAAAAACAGCAACGCTGGAGGCAGCCCATACCAACCCCTGTAGCCAAGGCTTGGCAGCTAAGCAGGAGAAGGTGGGAGATGCTAAAAGCGAAGCTGCTAGCAGTGGGTCAGCCAGAGAGTGGCCTTCCTTCAGGATTGATGACCCGGCAAAGGCAAAGTATGCAGAGAGGCGACGCGCTGCATACCTATTGAAGAAGGTGGAGCTGCAACCGCCAACCAATGAGGAGCTCACAAAGGAGCTCCGAGAATCCATTGGTTGCGCGAGAGCTGTCCTACCTAACTTCAAGCTGGAAGCGCCGGTAGTGGCAACAAAAAGACAGAGGTCCGCTGAAGAGGCTAAGCCGTCAGCTAAGAGACCGAAAACTAAGGGCGTGACGCCCGTAAGATCTTTTGCTGATGTGGCCCGAATCCGCATTGTCATTGGTGTACTGGATGAGGGTGACCCCGAAGGAAAAATCCCCAGAGCCCAATGGAAATGGGTGCCAGCCGCACTGACGAATGTGGCTTTGGAAGTGCTACTAAGCAATCCAGGTCCACCCCCGTCATGTGTGGATGCCGGATGGTATCAAGGGCAGATAAAGATGATAGCGTGTGACGACGAGAGATCGGTCCAGCTATATAAAGCAGCAATAGCTAAGGTGGGAGAGGTAGACAGGAAAGATATCCCATCCCGACCGAGAGCAAGGGTATGGATCCCGGCTACACCATCGCAGCCGGACCAAATAATGCAGCTCATAAGAGCCTGCAACCCAAATCTGCCAACGGAGGGATGGAGATTCGTCAAGGCCTTTGACGACCCCGCAGCAGAATCTGGAGTGGAGACGAAGCGAGCCACAATGCAGATTCTGCTGCTTCTAACAAAAGAATCCGTAGAACCGCTAGCGAAAAGTGGCGGAGAGATCAACTACGGATTCACAAAAGTAAAGGTCATGACCTACAAATCAGACGCCGATGCAGGAGAAAACTTGGCATCGGAATCGGAGTGCGAAGTCGAGGAAGATCCAGTGGAGTCCTCGAGCGACGCAGAGATCACGGATCAAGGTGAGTGTACTTCGGAGTCTGAACTTGCGGACAGACTTTCTAAACTCTACACTGAGAGTGAGCTTTTAAGCGACTCTCATGATGATGCAGAGAAGACCATAACTAATGCGTCTTCTGCAAATTAATTTACACCACAGCAAACTAGCGTCTCTAGCCCTAGTTAACCGCATGGCAGAAGAACGGCCTGACTTTGTCCTCATTCAGGAGCCATGGGTTAACGGAGGGCGTATTTGCGGTCTGAGGACACCAGGTTACAATCTACACGCGAATGGTAGTGTAGGTAAGCCTAGGACATGTATATTGGCTAACAAAAAGCTTAATGTCTTTTTATTACACAATTACAGTAGTAAAGACACTACGGTGGTAAGCTGGGAGACGAGCAAGAGGAAATATCGGCTCACATCATGCTACATGCCGTACGACGAGGTAGCAGTACCATCGCAGCTGTTCAAGGAGCTGGTACGAGACGCCGAAGCATCCAAGTGTTCGATCATACTTGGGTGCGACTCCAATGCATAATCTAGCACGGAAATTAATGAAAGGGGTGAGTTGCTCTTTAATTATCTAATAGGAAGTAAACTTCTGTTATGTAACGAAGGTAGTACGCCAACATTTATAACCAGAAACCGACAGGAAGAATTAGATATAACACTGGTATCGGAAGAACTGGTGGATAAAATAACACATTGGAGGGTATTGGAAGAACACTCCTTCTCAGACCACCGCTACATTGAGTGTATAATTGAAGAAAATGTAGTTAGGGAAGAGAAATTTAGGAATCATAGGAAAACGAATTGGCAGATGCACATGCAGGAGCTAAAAGAGCGTATTCCTATGATTCCACCATTCCAACCAGAAAAGAAAGAGGACCCAGACATCCTCGTTAAACGATTCACAGCACTAGAGGTAGTTTGTCCATTAACGCACAGTAGGGGAAGAATTAGACCTCCTTGGTGGACCCCAATACTTAAGAACATGCAGAAGAATTGCAGGAGGCAATTCAATTCTGCCAAACTATCCCAAGAAAATATAGAGTGGGATAACTATCACAACCACCTTCGGGCATACAAAAAGGAGGTGAGAAAAGCAAAAAGAAATTCGTGGAAATCTTTTTGTAGCGACATCGAAGATACGGCAGAAGTGTCCCGACTGAGAAAGATAATGACACAGTCGAAACATAGCATCGGATACCTTCAGAAGCCAGATCACAGCTGGACGGAATCCAGTAAAGAGACTCTGGGCCTACTAATGGACACTCACTTCCCAGACAGTTCCGAGAACCTCACAGGGGAGCATATAATGGGGAGTGAAGTAAGCTCAGAGACCCCTCCGCTAGACATAGTGTCAGATGACAATGTTTATTGGGCAATAGGCAGCTTCAAGCCTTATAAAACGCCGGGACCAGACGGTCTATTCCCGGCCCAGTTACAGCAATCCCTGAGCTACACAATAAACTGGATAACAATCATGTTTAGAGGGGCGCTGAAATTGAACTATATTCCCTCGACATGGAGGGCAGTTAAGGTGATATATATCCCAAAGGCGGGCAAAAGCTCACATATTAATCCAAAGGATTTTAGACCAATTAGTCTTTCATCATTTCTTTAAAAAACGCTGGAAAGACTAATAGAAATACATATAAAGGACATACTAAACCCAAGAAAAATGGCAGTTTCGCAGCATGCGTACTCGAAGGGTAGATCCACAGAAACGGCATTAAGCTCAGTGGTAGCAGAGATTGAAAAGTATCTGGAAATAAAAGAATACACCCTCGTAGCCTTCCTAGACATAGAAGGTGCATTTAACATCATCCAGCCGAAGGCCATATTGATCTGGGCATATCTGAGCCTCTCCGGAAATTAATTGAACAGATGCTCTTGGGGAGGTCAATTATTTCAACGCTGGGAGCTTCAACGATGTACAGATCTGTCCGAAGGGGTACACCCCAAAGAGGCGTGTTATCCCCACTTCTCTGGGTCCTGACAATGAATAAAATGCTTGTGGACCTAGAAAAGAAGGGGGTACATGTTGTGGCCTACGCTGATGATGTGGCAGTCTCGGTTAGGGGCAAGTTCCCGAACACCCTCGCTAGTCTCATGCAGACAATACTAAACGAGATTAATCGATGGGCCGTATCATGCGGACTGAATTTAAATGCTAGCAAGACAGAACTAGTATTGTTTACTAAGAAACACAGTACTCCCGAAATCACGCCGCCATTTTTAAATGGCACCAGGCTAACGATAGGGGATAAAGCAAGCTACTTGGGACTAATTTTGGACAGGAAGCTGTCTTGGAAACAAAACCTGGAAGCGAGGGTAAAGAAAGCTGCTACAGCGCTTTACACATGTAAAAGAATGGTGGGGCCCAGGTGGGGACTGACACCTCGGGTGGCTCACTGGCTGTACACAGCAACTGTAAGGCCGATCATGACCTACGGGATAGTAGTATGGTGGCCAATTACAGAAAAGAAATATGCGATTAGAAGCATGGAAAGTATACAAAGAGCAGCTAGTATTTGCATTAGTGGAACTCTCAGAACTACCCCAAGCCAGGCACTCAACATAATTTTACACTTGCTGCCAACAGACTTATATGGCAAGCAAATGGCAGCGAAGTCAGCTCTAAGACTAAGGGAAGCCTCCCTATTAGTCGCCTGTAACAAGGGGCATTCTAGGATACTTAGGAAGTCCCGTTTCTTCCCATAACTACGGATTTTCGCAATCCGGGGGAGCTGAACCTAAATCCGATACTCAATATTGCCTTTCCCTCCAGAGAGAAGTGGGAACGGCATGTAGTGGACAAGGAAGAAGGGATTAGCTTCTATACGGATGGTTCCAAACTGAATAACCGAGTAGGCGGCGGTGTCTTCTCGGCTAAATTAGATACCAAAGTCGCCTTCCGGTTACCAGACCACTGTAGTGTCTTCCAAGCAGAGGTCACTGCAATTAAAGAAAGCCTTCTTGTACTAACAAAAAGCGTAATCACAACAAAAAGTGTATTTATATATACAGACAGCCAAGCGGCTTTGAAATCTCTAATGTCTCATAGGATTTCGTCGAAGACAGTGAAGGATTGCCATGATCTTCTAGCGGATCTGTCATCCTATTTCACTGTAAATCTGCAATGGGTTCCAGGACCCAGTGACATCCCTGGTAACTGCGTAGCAGATGAACTAGCCAGAACAGGCACCACCCTACAACTAGATCCTGGTAAGGTGGACATAAATATGCCTCTGGCTACGTGTAGATACCTAATCGACAAACATGTCATTAATATAGCCGAGTGTCAGTGGAATCAATCCCTGACCTGCTCAACCAGCAGGCAAACGTGGCAAGAATGGAATATGAGCCGCACATGCCGACTGTTAAAATTCAAGAGGAATGATATAAGAACTCTCGTAGGAGTACTAACAGGCCACTGTCTAATAGGCAGACATGCAAGTAGACTTGGCGCGCCATATAACGACTATTGTAGAAGCTGTCAGGAAGTAGAAGAGGAGGAGACCATTAAACATCTTCTCTGCGATTGCGCAGCACTATAAAGGAAAAGAATCGCAACCATCGGTCGTGGGTTTCTTGACGACGTCTCGGAGGTTGCACAGATAAAACTTGTCTCACTGATGAAGTGAGAGAGTGAGGGGATCACAATCCCAGTGGTATCACAATGGGCCTCCTAAAGGCCTAAGTGTGTCGAATGACAGCCACTTTACCTACCTACCTACCTACAATGATTTGTGGGCAAAGCTGTTAGAGCGGCAAGGGAAGCGGTGACAATCGGCGAGCGTTCGTTTATTTTTCGGCACATCTCGGATTTTCTACCAACAACACAATGTTGTGACGCTTTGTCGTCGCGTCAATCCTTCGACAGATTGAATATTTGACATAAAAGCAAAAAACGTGAGCTTCGATCATTCGTTGACCGTGTCAACGGAGATTTCACATGAAGTAATGAGTGTTCACTTCTACATACATACTTTTGTTGTTTGTAGACAAATTTACAAATATGTACACATGATATGAAAATGCCGGCGGCAAAACACAATTCTGTACTTTTGTGACTCCAAAATGGTGTCAAGTACACGGATAATTTTAAGAAATATATCAAAATATGTTTTAATTATTACTAATAACTCACAATAAAGTCAAAATTAATTAACATAAAATAATTTAAAAAATAATAAATAATAGCTCGATAAAAGGGAATATATTTCAAATGGTATATCAATACTCCCAGTTTGGCATACATATTATATTCTCTTCAATATTCGCCGTTTGGTTATGTTAAGAGAGCGTATGTGTACAGATGCACCGCTGTTATAAAAGCGAGAAATGTTATTTGTTTCTCCTGCGTATGCGGTAAACTCCTTGATAAAATTTTACAAGTGTTCGCTGCACTTTCTCGTTCTTCTAAATTCTCTGATATAAACATCCATATTTACAATGATTTGTTGGCAAAGCTGTTAAAGCGGCAAGGGAAGCGATGACAATCGGCGAGCTTCGTTTTTTTTTCGGCACATCACAGATTTTCTATCAGAAACACAATGTGATAAGACATTTAAGTCTCATCTATTTTACGGACTGACGGACTCCTAATCTATTCTATATGTCTCAGTTTTGTCATTCTGCTTCGCTGAAGGTTTTCCAGTTCTCAGTGGACTGACTCATGTGTGTCGTCAAATTTTCCACCGTTAAACTATCACCGAGTGTAATTTTTAGTTTTTCCTTCATAATTACAAAGCGAGGACAGTAAAATAATACATGTTCAGAGTCTTCCAAGCACTCTGTACACGTCGGACAGTTCGGACTAGTTACGCGATGGAATCTGTACAGGTAGGTTCTAAAGCACCCATGTCCACTCAATAGTTGTATAAGGTGGAAATCCAAGTTCCCATGTCGTCTGTCTATCCACGGTCGGATGTCCGGTATGAGTCTGTGGTTTAACCGTCCTTTGGGTGTGGTTTGCCACCGTTGCTACCACATTACCATGCTTTTGTTTTTCTCTTTGTTTTTGGATTCTTTAGATGCTTTTGCTGATAACTTGTATACTCGCGCGAATTCGTCGCCCTGGATGTAGATGGGCATCATACTGGCAATTACTTTAGCAGCCTCGCTGGATACCGTTCGGGAAGCACATATTGGGGCCGCATATAGTACAACCGATCTTATTATCTTTGCGAGTAAAATTCGCCGGCTGGAACGCACGTAGCCCTTATTTGCCATCATTCTTGATAAGGCGTTGAGGATTTTATATGCTTTACTCGAGGTGTATTCTAGGTGCTCCTTAAATTTAAGCTTTCAGTCTATTATTACTTCCAGGTATTTTAGCTGTGGCCACAGCCACACACTCCCCTATGGTGAGAGATATTCTTTCCTCTACTCCAAAGTTAAGCGATACTAAAAACTGAAGTTTTTTAAGTTTCGTAAGCTTTAGCAACGGGAAGCAAATCCTAAGATTAGCTCCCATTTTGAAGATCTCTTATATATATGTAAATATATAAGTCGGCCGGCACAGATAGCCAAGTTTAAGAAACTTAAGTTTCTACACAAGTTATCTGGAAAGTCGGAGAGCGATTCCGAGGATTACAATTTGTGAAGGCGAAGAATAGCCCCACACACAGAAGACGCAGAGAGAGCGAAGTGCACCATACATAGCAACAACAACAAGTTCAGTTCTATTAAAAGAGGATACATCAGCAAAGAATCCAGGCGAGCAGCAACCACTTCAGATGACAGGATCGCAAATTTTGAAGGAAGATTCAAGAATCATGACTTTGACGGCAGAGATTTATCATCGTTCATCAGAGAAGTTGACATGATCCTTCCTTTATTCAACCCCAACCCATCAATGTTGGAATTTGTAACGCAGCGACACGTCAAAACAAAAATTAAAGGAGAAGCAGCAAGTGTCATCCGGCCTTTGGGACCTACACCAACATGGCAGCAAATGAGAGAAGAACTCATAAAGAATTTTGGAGTAAAGGAGTCGTACCACACCCTTTACAATCAGGCGATTGCAATACGAAACTATAACGTAAGTCAATATTTTCAAAATTTAAAAGATATTTTAGATAAACTAAATTTAAAACATGAATTCGATAGGATAAAGCCTATAGAATTTTCTCCAATTAACAACGAAAGTTTAATTCTAAAAACATTTTTAAATGGGATACACCCCAACTTAAGCAGTGTAGTGATTAGTAGAAATATAAGCACCATTAGAGAGGCTTTTAGCGTTCTTCAAGAGACAGGTTTGCTAATACAATTTGATAAAAGACAAAACAATTATCAAAGAAATAATTAAGAAATTTTTCAAATAGAAATTCTTTGGCTCACAATTTTGGCAATTTCAATAATAAACAGTATATGCAAAATTCCAATAATTTTCAATTTGGACAAAATCAGCAGAGAGAATTTCGTAACAATTCTAACCAAAATGACAATTATCAACAATTTAACTTTGGACAAAGTAGACAAAATAATTCTGAGCAATTTAGCTTTGGACAAAATAGGCAAAATAATTCTCAACAATCTAGAAGATATAATTTAGTCCAAAGGAGACAAAACCCCCCCGAACCGATGGAAATAGATCACGTTGAAGAACAAGCAAATTTTCGGTTGCCAGCCCAAAACAATCGTTCCCGATAATAGAAGTAACCATAAAAAATTCAAAAATTAAATGTCTTTTTGACACAGGGTCTACAACATCATTATTGAAATATAATGTGTTAAAAGATTATGAATGCATTGAGCTTGATAAACCAATACACTTTAGCACCATTAAGGAAAATTTTTCCCTAAATAAAGAGTTAGTCACCCCAACCCCAAACGAATTCAATGAAAAAAGTTATGTACATTGGAAACTAACCAACATAAAAAATAATAACTTTGATGCTATAATAGGACAGAATATTTTAAAACCTATTAAAGCAATAATTAATTTACTAAAGGAGTATGTAGAAATAAACGGCAACAAAATTAAATTTATAAACTCATGCCCTTACAATTACGAAGATATTAATATACTTACAGAATGTAAAGAGAATTTGCTAGATATTTTATCAAATAGTGACATGAATGAAGAAGAAAAGCAAAAATTAGAATACATTCTAAAAGCAAATAGCGATTTATTTTTCCAAGAAGGTAAAAACCTTTCTCATACTCATGAAATTCAGCATGAAATTGTTACAAAAACAAGTAGACCAACTTATAATAAAATTTATAGATATCACCAAATTCATGAAGAAGAAATTAGTAGGCAGATGAATGAGATGTTGCGCCAAGGTATAATTAAAGAAAGTAATTCCCCGTACAACTCGCCTCTTTGGATTGTACCGAAAAAGCAAGACAATTCAATGAAGAAAAAATGGAGAATAGTTATTGACTACAGGAAGCTAAACGAAGTCACTGTAGATGACAAATTTCCAATACCCCATATAGAAACAATACTCAGCAAACTTGGAAGAGCTCAGTATTTTACAACATTAGATTTTGCAAAAGGCTTTCATCAAGTATTAATAAAAGAAGAAGATGGAGCAAAAACAGCTTTTTCTACACCCCAAGGACACTTTGAATTTATAAGAATGCCTTTCGGACTAAAGAATGCACCAACAACTTTCCAACGTTTTATGAAATTAGTTCTTAGGGAATATGTCAACAAGATATGTGTAGTTTATTTAGACGACATCTTAATTTTTAGTTCAAGTATTGAAGAACATACCCAAAATATTTTCAGCATTAAGAAAACATAATTTAAAGATTCAGGTAGATAAATGCAAATTTTTCGCGAAAACAACAGAATTTCTAGGTCACACTTTAACAACAGAAGGGATACAACATACAAAAACTAAAGTTGCCTACTACATCAAAGCAAATTAAATCATTCCTAGGTATAACAGGTTATTATAGAAAATTTGAAAAACTTAAAAATCTATTAGTAAGCCCACCAATATTGAAATATCCAGACTTTAACAAAAAATTTGGCATTTCAACTGATGCAAGTGACTTTGCAATTGGCGCAGTATTAACGCAGGACAGTCATCCTATAAGCTATGCTAGTCGAACACTTAACAAACACGAAAGAAGTTATTCCACTACAGAAAAAGAACTACTAGCTATTGTCTGGGCAGTGACATATTATAGACCATACATTTACGGCAGAGCATTTGATCTCTTAACCGATCACCAACCACTAAAGTGGCTCCAAATAAAAAACAAGGGAAAAGACATTAACCCAAGATTGCAAAGATGGTTAAATAAACTAGGTGAATACAATATTAATATAAATTACGTGAATGGAAAGGAAAATAAC